TTTCTCCTAAGGTTTTGATGTCCTGGCACTGCACCTCTTTGGTGCTCTGAGCTTGCACAGGGTCTAAGATTAGATAGCCCGTCATAGGGCTCCTCTGCACATGGTGATTTTGGTTAAGCATTGCTTAAAAAAGGCATGAAAAAGTCTGCACAAGTCTGGTCTCTTTAGTTGGATGCCTTATGAGAACTCCTGAAAAGCTGGTAACTGTCTCTTAATGATGGAAGAGAAGAAAGTTCTTTTCTGCTCTTTTAACTTTGGAAACGAAATAAGAATAGGAAAGTAGAATCGCCCTGGATTTTATACAGAGCCAGGAGTCCATTCACAGTCTCATACCAAGCACTTCTAAAAAGGGATCTGTAGAATAATCTACATGAAGGTATTTTCAACATCTTGTGGAAAGTAGTAGATTTCAGAATTCATTGTACTGGTATGCTTTTTAATGAATGCAGTAACAGGCAGATGAGTAATGTTAGCCTTCTGCTTAGTAAAAACAACCAGGTAATTTGTCAGAACCAGGATTGGCCAGTTATTGGTCATTTTAACAAACTTGACTGTTAGTTTGAATAGTCTCTGGAACAAAACTTGATGTGAAGTAGCAAAGCAAATGTTCAAGAATTCAATGAAGTCTGAACAGATACTGCATAGGATAATAGGTAAAAATGCTACCAGCTTGAAAAAAAACCCGAAACACAGATTTCTGCTAGATCTGGTTTTGTGAGATGAAACTGAAGTCTACTGTTCAATCACAGCACAATCAGGAATTGAGGGATAGTGACTACATTCCTGGTATTGCTACAGACTTAACTTCAACCAGATCAGTTTAAATCAAGACCTCTGGAAATGTTTAGACTTTTGTTGCTGTGTGTTGTTAGGCCTAAGTGACTTGGTCTCTGAGTTAAGGTATTGTAGACAAAATTCTATTGCATCTCTGGCATACCAACTTGCAGTTGAGCAATACTAACCTGCAGTGAAACTGGAATTGTCACTACTTTTGTGATACTTGTACTTGCATCCTCTGTTGTGCTGAGGATGGTCTGCACTGATGCTTCAATAGCTATCTGCAGGTAGCTAAAGCTGACTTAAATCTTTCCTTCTGGCTGTGTAAGACTAACATAACACAGTGCTCAGTCCTACACCCAAATTCATGTTCTGCTTTGCTATTCTCATGGCATGCTTTAGGGACATCCTTTTTCCCAGGATATCAGAAGACTACTGTCAGGACTTTTCAATTGCATGATGTGACAGCTGACTTTTCAATTGCATGAAGGACCATCTTTCAGCCTGGGACAAGAAGTGTATGCTTCAGATCTCACAGCAGATGGAGCAGTGAGTCAGCCTAAGCTGTTGCAAGGCCAAAGCAAAGACTTCTACATCTCTCTGCAGAGGGGTTAAAGAGCAATATCCATTGCTACTCCAGAGGGAGGATCAGACTTGCTTATAGGGAATTGGATTGCAGCCCCAGCTGAGAAATGCATGAGGAGTATTATGGCATGCCCTGTGCGTACAAACAGTGTTGGATGGGATTAACACAAATATCCAGAAGTTTATAATAGATCTTTGCAGAGGTTGTAGGACATCCAGATGGTAATGGAAAAGTGTCTATAGTGACTAGGTGTGAAATGAGCTTCCCCATAATGGGGAAGGATCATGTTTGGTTGTGGCAAGGCCCATCCAGTGTCTGGTCCCTGTTCTGCCTTGTTTTCTATGCGCCATGGCATGACCCTGTCCTCCTAATGCAAGTAGCTGCTAACTGTAACAGATGAAAATTCAGTACTTTCAAAAAATTAAGGCATGTTTTGTGTGCAGTGAGATGCTGCAATGAACTAATACAGGGTCTCAATTTTATATGACTCCTTCCTGTCTGTCTTAAATTCTTTATTCAGTTCCTATCCAATTCTGTCTCTGTGCTCCCAGTCCTAGTAAGTGAAGTGTTTGAGTGTTATATATGTGCTGACAGATATCCTAGGCTTTTTCTGCAGAGCATAGGAATGGTGGGCTCACCAGTACCTTGACAGAAATAGGTATGTTGGCAGAAATGGGAAGTTTCAAGTAGCTGTAGTGTCTAGGGGAAAAAAGGTCACAGTGCAGTCTGTACTGAAGAGGATGGGGGAAGGTGTTGGTGGCAATTTGGGCTTTCAATGGCAGTTTGGTGTTCCCTGTATTTCCCCTCACTGGCAGCCTTTGCAGCAGATCCTGGGCCACCTAAAGAACTCCTCACCTCCCACTGCTCCAGGAACATGAAGGGGGTTGTTCTGCAATACTCTGAAGCTCAGGAAGAAGACAAGCCTCAGAGCACCCCAGGACACAGCAATAGTGGTGTCACCTACCTGTCTTCTTGTCCACTTGTCAGTGTCTGTGTGTGCTCACTGTTGGCAGAAGCAGAGTATTCAACAACCAAGTCCTGTTTTAAAAAGGCAGTTGCAAGTGAATGTGTTAGCTACTGCAATATTTGACCCAGGCATAGGGTCTGACTTCCAGCTGATCTTGAAATGACAGCTAGTTAATCACTAGGGTCAGATTGCTTAAAGGTTTTTTGAAGACCTTGTGCCTTTTGTCCTTGCCAAACTAAAATTCTGGTTTTGTATCTTTTCTATCTAGGATCTAGATCCTGTGAAGCAGAGGGTAATACATGGAGGTGTATTGTAAAGCTTAAATTACTGCCCATGGAGAAAGCTTTAGTGCCTCTGCATTCCTATTTGGAGGGATGTTTTTAATCCTTGTGTTTTCTGTAGTTGCTGGGGTAGGATGGTTCAATATAGTTCATAGAGTTGCTGTGCTACTTTGACAGAGAAATTTGATGAAGTGCGGAAAATAATTGGGATACTTTAATGTATGTCTGCAGCACTGGCTGTTGTAAACCAGAAGGGATTCTCTAGCATTGACACGAAGTTATGGATGTTTGCCTGAAGCCATGCTGGATAGTCACATACATACTGGTGCAAAGTTATTTGCAGTTGTACAAAGCATTGTCTTGGCAATAAACAGTGTTATTCTAACAAAAAGCATAGCTCCTGCGTGAAGTATGACAAGTAAAAAGCTTTATGGAGTCACGTATTTTTCAGGGTGTTTTCTTTAATTGGCTGAGAATCTGTTTAGACCCAGACTTTTCTAATCAACAGTTTAAATCTAGTAAAAGCCTCTGGGAGGGAGGAAAAAACACTTGTTTTCCACAGAGTTTGAGCCCTTTGCACCTGAAAACAACTCATAGAGCCCTCTAGTGGTGATGTGCTTAATAAACGTGGGAGGGTTTGGTTTGGGTTTTGAAGTGGTTATCACCGAAAATAGGAAAGAGGGTTTGGTTTGGTTTGGGATTTATTATTCTTAATGCAAATGGTAAGTTTCTCTACTCTCATCACTAGTGGATTGAAATATACTTTATGCATAACCAAAAGCAACTTGCTAAATCCTTGTAATAAGTTTTGCGTTGCCCTGTATCTATAGAGATACTTAAATGCTGATGAATGACTTAAATAGAAATTGTGTTTTGTTGCTATTGACCTGGGACAAGTGGGAAGTAAAAGCATCATCTGAGGTTATAAAATGTCCCTCCAACACTAATAATGCTGTCTGTTATTGGAGGATAAAAACTGCCTGAGGTTTTGGATTTTATTTTTCTTTTTTTTTTTTAATGCCAGTATTAAAAAGCAATGTGGTAAGCCATATTTTGTCTGTCTTAGAAGCCGTGGTTCAAACTTTGTGGATTATTTATGTACTTTAATATTTAACTCCTTTATCTTCTTGGCTTGTTACATGAACTGCAGTGTTCTAGAAAAAACTTAACTATTAGGTTAATGGTAAGTAATGCCTGCCTTTAATTTTGACTTTTTTCTCTTAATTCTTGTTGCTATAAAATTAGTCAAATTTAAGAGACGAGGAGATGGAGACAATGTGGTGGTGTCTAGGATAGACTGCAAGTCTTAGAAACTTGTGTTTTAAGCAACAAGTATGTATAAAATCTGTAAGGTTTTAACTGCTACTTTAAGTCTGGAATTCTGTCTGAACAAAAATAGTAATGCTTTACGTTAATGAGACATCCAGCATTGTAAGCTCTGAGATGCTTTTGAAAATCTTGCCAAAGTTTCAGGGGAGGAAAGCAAAAATATCAAATTATCACTATGCTTTTATCTTTTGAGGCACTAGGGAAGTGGCTTCATTGCCAAACAGATCATCTTTCCTTTCGGAACCCTCCCACCCTCTTGCTGCCTAATCCTCTTCTGAAAGGAAAAGTACTGTAATAATAGAAGTAGCCTGAGAACTGTGAGTGTAGATCTGTGGCATTAAAGGAAATGTTTGTTGCTAGAATGGTGACATGATCAGCCGTAGTAATGATGACTAAATGCCATGACAGCACAAGTTTAGTATCAAACTTTTCTTACCTTTAGATTCAGATGGATGAAAGATGCAGGATGTCTGTTTTGGAAAGCTGAGGAGTGGGAGGGAATGCTTTATGAGTGTTTAATGGGTTAGAGAAGGGAGAGCTCTTCAGGTGTACTTCCTTTCTGTGTAATGGCCATATTCTTCAACACTGTCTGTGTCGCTACATCCTTATTGCTGATCAGAAGACATGACCTAGTCTGGGAACTTGCTTGGGCTGCCTGTGAGCCATGTACCACTCAAGAACTACCGGTTGCTCATCCTCGTCACTTTTATTCCCAGTATGAGCTCAAAACTGGAGACAAAAACTGTATGAAGGGGAACTGGTGGGAAACACCTTCTTTGATTACTTATACTGATACTGCAAATAAGCTGTTTGGGCAAGGGTTTATTGCAGCTAATACTTATACAAGATTTGGAAAAGATCTTTACTTTGTTGTGCTGCTCATCATTGAAGAGAAGAAAACGTAAGCTTCTGCTGCTCAAGGCTTTGGAAAATATATAATAATTTTCTGCCCAGTAACATGCTTTGGAAAATTTGCCCAAAGTAAGCTTCTGTGTGTGTGCGGGGGAGAGGGAGAGTGTTCAGTCTGGTAAGACATATTCAACAACTGTTTGTATTTTAGAAATGTAGCAACTGAGTTTTCTGAAAGTCATGCTTCACTTCAGGAAAATATCAGACTGTGTTTGTCTTGGGTCTGTGTCAGCTTGAGAGTTTAAATCAAGCTGAGAATCTTGAAGAAGTAGGTCTTTAAGGATTTGAAGGCGTGTAATTTAGAGTGAGTGTATCTGCTTTTAAAAAAGTCAATATCGTGTCTTTATGTTGTGCTGTGGTTTTGTGTATTCACTGTGATGATGGGAGTTAATTCCAAGGCAGGCTGACAACCAACTGACCTGATTCAGCTTTTGTTGAGGTTTCTGAAGCATTGCACAAGAGGTTTGAAGGAAAAAGTTTGGGAGCATGTGACAGTTAATCTCTTTAGCAGTAAGAATGAAGTTTAAGCATACTGTTGGAAACACACTCAGGTCTGTGCTGCTCTTTGTTTTAATTAACAATCTCCTGCATAGATTGGGAGTGTAAACGTACTTGCACTTTAGTCCAATTAAATTGTGCTTGGAGGCTGTCAATGGCGGGGGGGGGGGAACTCCCTCCTACTCCCCCCCCCTTTTTTTAATTGTTCAGTGAGTCTGTTGAATAGTGAAAGAATTTCCCTGGCAGGGTTTCGTAGTGTTTCGTCGTCTTGATGAATTATTGCAGCGGGTAGGCGACAGTCTCTTTTGTTCAAAATGCATTGGAATGATTCATCCAATTCCTCAGAGAGTGACAATGAAGCTCATTCAGCCTTTACGCAGACTGAGCACAACGTAGTTGCAGCTTACTTAATCACAGCAGGTATGGGTATTGGCAAATAGTCGCATAACTGTTTAAAATACAACTGTAGTTCTGAATGTTCATTTTGTATAGTAACAGAGATGGTGTTTCATTTTGTATTGCACAAATGTCTGATGACTCTTCTTCATAGTTTACTGACGTGTTAGCAGGCTGACTGAAGTGTGCAGAAACATCTAAGTTTTCTGCTCTATATTTGAAGGTAGCATTGTGTGTTGAAAAATATATTTTGTTGATATGTAATTATAGAAGAGAGTAAGAATTAATTTCTGCCAGCTTGCAAAAGGGATAAAAATAGGACATAGCTGTCACATCTTGCATTTTTCTGTGATGTGCTTGAAGCTATCTTGAGATTTCTCCTGGGCCACATGTTTGTAGTAATATATGTGTAGTCTGAGCATGTGAGCGGGTGTCTGTTAGGGGGATGTAAGGGGAAGGGTTGGAATGTGACTTAGAGGGAGGGAGCTGGCCATTAATCACAGAAGAGGAGACTCTGGTTGCAGCTGTATTTTTCACCAATGACACATGTTAGAAAAAGCACACTGAAGGGCTTGACATCGTGTTCATTCCCTGTGACTGCAATGGCCTTTGGCTAAACTTGAATAATTACGTTTGATCCCCCCCCCCCTTCTCCTTGAAAACTTTCTCATTGTTATAATCATAACTGCTTCAGTAATGCTTTTTTTTGAGCATTGAGAGCTATAGCAATGAAATATCAATGTGACCAAAACCTGAAACTTACTGTCTTTAAAAATAGGCTTTCTATATCTTTATTATGGAAAATCAGATCAGTTTATAAATACTTTTTTTTTTTCCCCACAGGCTTTACCATGCATTTTCTATGCTATTATTAGCTTTTAAAATACATTAAAATATTAATGGACTTTAAGTTTATATGAAATAGTATTGTGGATGGTCTCATTTTATTTAGCATATCTATTTGAAGTGGTATCAGTGATGTTCTGGTTAAAGGCTATTTTCGAATGCAAAGGCAATAAATTTATTTCAGATTTTTAGAGAAATTGCTAGAACAACTACACAGAATAAGTAGACTTGTTATGAAGCTGTAGAGATGAATTATGGTAATGTATTGGAAGGCTAGATACACTCTGCAGTACTACAACAGTATTTGCAGGTAACTGGATCTATTATGTGCTGCAGATACGTATGATATTTGTTATATTTTTAATTTAAATTGGTTAGATTGTATGCAACAAGGTGGTCTTTTCAGATAGCTATCTTTTTAGATAGCTTGGTGTTAGGGATCAAAGCTATCACAGGTGATCAATGGGAAGAGCTAGAATCAACCCAGATCTTCTTCCTTAATCTTACAAGGAAATTAAATGTCTTTAAAAAAGCAAACAAAAAGTTGGATTGCTTTTCGTTTATTTGTTTTCCTCTTATAATTGCAGGAGCCTAGTAACTCGCCTGTAGGCTTTACTTAGCTTTCTTAATGAGGAATCTTTTTGACAGTAAGATCTATAACATCTTTGAAAGTATGATTAATTGCATTGCAAATGCCTTACTACCACAGATCTCACCTCTGGAAAATTTAAGCTGTGTTAGTAAACAGATATCTAAGAATAAGAATAAAGCACAGGTACAGTGCTCATCATCATGTTGCTTTTTAGAAGGTTTGAATTCTTCTGCAAATAATTGCTTAGTTTTCTGAGAGTGAAGTAATTGTTGAGTATTGCACTCTACAGTGGCTAGTGTATTAATTCTAGCGATGACCACAAGGATACTCAGGCTGCAGGAAGCAATACTACTTCATGGACATCTTTCATCTTACAATGGTGAAATGCTCTGGTATCATTTTAAAAATGCAAAGTAAATTGTGTTATACACAGACCTAACCTTCATTGTTTTGATGCTACTACATGTGCCTTGCTTAACTTTAAGGCTTTTATTTACATTTGTTCTGCCTTTCATTTTCATTGCTTCCCTGGGAAGGAGGAAAGTAAATTCTTCTGCTCTTGATCAGGTTATGAGGCTTTTATCTTCAACTTCATAAAGCTACAAGGTTTATTTAAAGAAATGTGGGAATAGTTGTCTAACCCTAAGATGCTTCACAGGCCAAGTGGCAGCATCTACATGTTGTATCAGAATCACATGAGTTTGTCCCAGCTGATGATTTCAGGCTACTGAAAGTCTTGGGCTTGATCTGCACTCCTTACCCTCTAAGACTGGGCTCTGAGGCACAGGACTTAACTGCGTCTAGCAGGATCTTTCCTTCCCCCTGAGGATACAAGTTTATAGCCCTGTTGTATTTCTGATTTCATTCTTGGTAGCTGTAATATCTGTTAAAGCATGCCTCATAGGGAGCCTGTGCTGTTTTATAAAGTGGTAGTTCTATTTTGTGAGATGACATACTACCTGTCAACTTGAAAGCTGACAGAACTGGCACTGCAAGTGCTTTTACTGTGTGTTGGTTTCAGATCAGATCCCCAGCTCCTTGCTTTTTTGCATTTTAGGGCCTCATAGCATCACCCTCCTGAAATGTGTGACTATATGAATATGACAGCTGATGACATCTATGTGGCTATGCACCTCCAGCATCGTCTGTAATGTAAAGTTGCACTAGGCAGGAGACTTGCACTTGAGAGCAGACGTGCTTGGTGTTTAAAGAGAGAATGGAAAGAGAGGCAACCAAGTATTAGTTACATTTTTGCTACATTTAATTTAAGTTACAGAATCTGTTGTGAGAATTTCTGTGATGTAGGAGGTTGGTATTGGTTAATGCAATGTTGCAGTAAAACTCGCTGTGTGAGTTTCAGGTATAATAAAAAGGGTACATATTTATAGGAATGAAATTGAGAAATTCCATTTAAAGGATGAAGAATTGGTGTTGTCCTTTTTGTCTGTTATCTAAAGAATCATCTTTGTTGCATTTTTATGTATGTTACAGAAGGCTTTCATTTTGCCCTTTTGCATACCTGTCATGTCTCGCTGAACATAGTGGTTCAGATGGTACTTATGTGTATTTGACCCTAGGAATGCCTTAGTTCAATGCACTGGGGTGTGTGCTGTTATTTATAAATCTATTTATTGTGTTCCTGTGGACTGCCAAGGATGGAGCCCACAGGACTTCCTATGCTTTAAAAGAATTTTCATGCTTTGAAGGAATTGTCTTCAAAATTCAGCTGTACAGCTGAAGTACTTGAAACTGATTCTTGCCTTCAGGTTTTCTAACCTTGCTGATTTGAGGTTGTTTGAACTGCAGCATGTTTGTTAGTCTGCATATAAACTGATGTTAGGGATTTTTAACTCTGTGCTGCACCATTGACAGTGACAGAGGTGAAAGAACATTGTATAATACTTACAAACCTTACTGCCCTTTCCACAGAGGCATGTCACAAAAGCTAAAGTGTGTGTGTCAGTTTTTTGGCGGAGTCAATAGAGAAGCAGAAATCCCATCAGTGAAGGTGATGGCCAGCAAGCTGGAGCAGGATGGGAAGTGACTGTGAAAGAAGATGAGTCTGCTTTTGGAAGTCTACATTCAGTATGACAGCCTCAAGCTCCTTACAGAATTATGCCTCCAGTCTGTGATGATGAAAACTACAGTGTTTTGATTCATAGGTGAAACTTCTTAAATAAAAATTAAAAACAAACAAACAAATCCCACAAAACAACCCCCCTGAAAAACTTTAAGGGTCATTTCCATGGATAACATGTTGTGTGTTAGACTTTTAACAAAATAATTCCACTTGTTCATTTAAGGTGCCCAGGCTATACAAATATTTGTAAGTTTAGGATTTGGTTCAGTGACACTGTAACAGCTATGTCAAACTACGCGATCTGAACAACTCACAGACTCCTGTTATTTACAAGTTATTTTTTTCATGGCTGTGTTTGCTTGAACATGTTGGAATTCTCCATTTTATTGATAAGAGCGTAAGTGGAAAAGTTTTTCTCTGCTTGTCGGGCGTCTGTCTTCTTCACAAAATTGCACTTGACTGAAATTACCATTTGTTTAGGACATAGATACTCCAACAGGCTATATTTTCTTCTGCATGTATATTACTGGCTGGTGGGTACCTTTGGTAAAGTTTCCCTTTTTCTGTTTTTACAGGAGTGGTAAGCATTTTCAGTAATATTGTTGTTTTGGGCATCTTTGTTAAATACAAAGAGCTTCGGACAGCAACCAATGCAATAATTATCAACTTGGCTTTTACTGACATTGGTGTTAGTGGCATTGGTTACCCCATGTCTGCTGCCTCAGACCTGCATGGAAGCTGGAAATTTGGATATACTGGATGCCAGGTATTGCAATTAATTCAGAGAGAAAGTTTTGAGCACTTAAAAGCAAACTGAGAAATAAGCAGTAGCTCAACCTCGCATTAGTTCTTTCGAGATAGGATGGACATGCAAAGTTTGACGTTAGACCTGAAGCTGATGTTCTGTCATGTCAACAATGTCTGGATATAGGATTTTGCATGTGATTTTCAAAGTGTAACATTGTATTTATCAACTAGAGATTTGAAAATAGCTTTAAGAAGACTTGGGAAACAAAATCCTCAAATGAAGAAGGTTATAGTAACACATGCACATTTGATGACTTATTTGATAATGAAAAGACTTTGGATGTGACTACAGTTTTGATTATGAGTTTGACAGATCTTAATGAGTTCTGCTTGGCCAATACATGTTCTTTCGGATTGCTCTATTACGATATCCAAAATGAAGGTCTGCAAGGCTAAGGCTAAGATTTAGCTTAGTTTTAATAGCTGTCTATTTTTAAAAATAGTCTGACTGAAAAATTATACTTCCATAGCAGAAACATAGTGCCCTTTGCTCTGAACTGTGATTTAAATCTCAAGTGTCCATGAAAATAGGTAGTAATATAAAGGTGTATACTGAAAATGTGACTCAAGAAAAACATTAGCAGCAATACACATTTCAGACCTTTATATAATGGATATTTATAATAATCAGAGTTCACTTGCCTGACTTATTTCAAGTTCAAAATTCAGTTACTGTTTGACAGGAAGCCTCACTTAACATCTTTGTACTTAGGCTATCCTGTAGCGGGTTGAAGTTGATGTGAAATCTCAGTACCAATGGTTTGGAGTTCACTTGACACGCAGCTCCCATCAATCTAAACCAAATGAATCCTGTGAAATGAGATGGTTGAATGTCATAACCACTGTTGGTATGTAATCTGGCACAGGGTGCTATGTTTCTTGGGTGCCAGTGCTAACACAGCCTTCCCAGTCTTCCTTCCTGATCTCACTGCCCATGGGATGAGGGGGCAGATGCATTTAGAGCATGTTGGGATTGCAGCATCTGTCACTCTGTGCAGCAGATCTGACACATGTAAAAATGGAGTCTGATGGGGAAAGTCAGTGTACCACATCTGTGAAATAAGTGGAAAGAGTGACAATTCAGGATCTCACATTTGCTAAAGCCATAACCTTTTTGATGAATCAAATGCTGTTCAGATTTCCTTCAACTTATACCAAAACCACGAATTGAACCCCTTCAACCTCCAGACTCTGAATCTCAAAATTTACTTACTGAAGTATGGTGTTTTTTTTCTTTTTAGACTGCTGTTTTTAGGATTTCTGATGCACACACGAGCAGGTTGCTTTTGAAACATTTAATTTCAAATGAGCCGTCTCCAAATTGCCTTCACTGATTTAGTTCTTTCAGTACCTTGCTTATGAAAGAGAACACAGCCTGAATGTAATGTATTAGTGCCTTCGATTCAGTCCACGAATTTGTGCTTGTACATTTGACAGATTTCTCAGAAAATGCTTTTTTGTTTCTGTGTTTTAATTTCAGATCTATGCTGCATTAAATATCTTTTTTGGGATGGCGAGTATTGGTTTGCTCACTGTTGTTGCAGTTGATCGTTACTTGACAATCTGCAGGCCTGATATAGGTACTGTACTTATGGTAAAAAAAAAGTTCACTGTTGAACTTCTGTGAAATAATAGTCAAACTGTTTTCTCATAAATGATTCCATAATTACAGTGCTAGGCATAATTTGAATTTACAGCATGATCCTGCAGTACTTGGTTAAGTAAATTATCTAGTTGGCATGAATAATACTGCTGGAGAAATGAATTTTTCACAATTAGGCTCTTATTCTGTTTATAAGTTGTATTTTCGTGGTTGTTTGCGGTCTTTGGAGGACAGTATCTATATACAGAAGCACATGAAAAGCCTCCAGCTGTGGGAGGTTTTGAAGCAGGTGTTTGCTTCTGCTGTTGTGTTAGCACTGAGCTGTACGTTTTTCTCTCCTCTCTGTTACAGCCATATTGTCAATACAGACATATTGTCACAGTTAATTCCTGCCCCTGCAGTCCTGCAAGTGTGTACTTGAACGCACTGTTGCATAATAAACTTTTTGACATGGGGTTAGGATCAGGTATTGCCTGTATGATGTGAGTTGGAGTGGATGATGGTATTTAGGTGGTGTTACAGGTTCAGCAGTATGAAATGATATACTGCAGTGTTTGGGAGTGTAGGCCTTTGAAAGGAACATTATTCATCTAGTATGTGCTTGCTGGAAGCCACTTGTTGCAGTTCAACTCTGGAAAGAAGCAATAGATGACAACGGTTTGTGATTGTATGTGTTTGGCCACAGGGAGAAGAATGACTGCCCGTAGCTATGCCACTCTAATCCTTGCTGCTTGGATAAATGCAGTCTTCTGGGCTTCCATGCCTACTGTAGGCTGGGCTAGCTATGCCCCGGATCCGACTGGAGCAACATGCACAGTAAATTGGAGGAAAAATGATGCGTAAGATTTCCCTTCACACTTTCTTTTCAGTTTGCTGTCTCATTGAAGGCTAAGCTTATTTAATTCACCACCCTCTGAGTATAACTTCTGTCAGAAGTATGAAGTGTAGTTTATAATAATAATTTTAAAAATATGGAAATAATATAGAGCAAGTCTAGAAAAAATACAGGAATTGAGCTGTGCTTGAAAACTGCAAGATTTGTAGGTGCTAATAAGAAAATTAAAGCTAAAGAAAGTTTTCCTAATTCTTTAAAAGCTTGTTTTAGAATTTCAAAATATCAAAATCTTTAGTAACTTTTACTGAATGGCTATTTGTAAGTTACTGTGTTTTGTTTTTCTGTTTTATCAGGTCCTTTGTTTCCTACACAATGAGTGTAATTGCTGTTAATTTTGTTGTACCCTTAACAGTCATGTTTTACTGTTACTACAATGTTTCCCGGGCAATGAAACAATATGCCAGGAGTAACTGCTTGGAAAGCATCAACATAGACTGGTCTGACCAAGTAGATGTGACAAAGGTATAGTAAATTAGGGCATGTTTTATTTTAAGCATGTTCTTTAGCATTAAATCTTGGGGCCAAAGGAACATTGCAGCCTTTTAAGCATTTCTGTTTCCTACATTTCCCCTTTTCCTTTTGTACTAAATATAACTGAAATTCAGCCTAGGTGAAAACTCTTGGCTTGACTTATAACACTATATTCTTTACTTTTGGCCTAATACTCTTTCCAGATGAATAGCTACTTTGAAGCCTGGGAACAATCTGAATTTTCCTTGCCTCTACCATTCTGTCAGTACACAGAAATATACCTCAGAGGTGTCCATCCTAGGAGGACTTTTTGTGTCTGTAGAGTCCTTAGGCTTTCTGCTAAGTAGGTAGGGGTGTCTGGTCTGAAATGGACTAGTCAACTCTGATTTGAACTCGTGGGCTAGAAATAGAATTACATTTCCAAGCTCCCAAAATGTGTGATTCTGATCCCTTGTACTTTTCAGTCTGTTAAGCTTATCTCTTATGTAAACAGTAGCAAATACCAGTTATGGCATAAAATGATATATTCTTCCTGGAAGGTTGACATTCTTTTAACGTCTAAAAGTCCTTTAGAAAGCTTGAAGCTCACTAGCTCCTTTGATTTTGTGTAAAGATATGATTTATAGCTGGACATGAGAAGTGAGAGAGAATTGGGCAGACAAGTATGTACCTATGCTTTTGAATTACTTATCAATGCAAACTTAACATTCCTTGGAAAACTTTATCATTGCTAAATTGTGAAAAATAGTACTTTTACCTACAAATAATAATCTAACCATTTTGCTCTTCTTAAAAACTTCCACAATGCTTAAAGCTGAGGATTCAGGTATGAATTTAGGCTCATATTTGCGAAGAAAATATATTTTTGCTGTTTTGCAGTTGAAGATACCAAGTTATATTTTGGAAAAAAAATAAAAGGATTGAATCTTTGGAGTTTCTTTTTTGGAACTGGACTGCTTGCTTTTTCAACAGCTGGCATCTTTAAGCTTCTTTACATTATTATTGATATGTGTGACATTTGTATGTAAACAGGAATCTTCTGTGGAAAGAGTCGCTCTGTTTATTGGTTGTGCTCTAGAAGAGCTCATACAAAGTAGCCATTTACTTCTTGTTTCTCATTTTGTTCATCACAGAAAGACTAAGGCTATAGGTAAACAACACTAGGGAATCCTATACATACAAAGAGCCCTGCAGGTTTGTCTGTTTATTTAGTGATTCGTTTTGTCCTCTTGATTAGTTTGACATTTTCATTCCAGTTTCAGTTACTGGTTCATGTCCCTGACAAAAACCAAAGAGGTCTGCCCCAGCTGATTCCTCTCCTAACCTTCCACTACCCTTATTTTTTCGCAGTTCATTTCTAGCTGGGGTGTGGAGTCTTCTGGGTTATGAGCCCCACGTGCCCGCACTGTTCTCTCTGACAGGCAGGCAGAGAAGACGTAACTGCTCAGATAGCTGCTCAGCGTGATGCTTGAACATGGCTATCATACTTCATTAAATCAGACACTTCTGGGTTCCATAAGTATATGGACTGAGCCTTTGTATCCAAGAACATTTACTTTCTTTAATTTTACTGTACCACAGTTAAACCTTATTAAACAGTTTTATTTATTAACATCTTTATGAAATATTTGGTTTAGATTTTACTCTCTGTTCATATTTTTTATTTGTAATAATGTCCTAAAGTGACCTGTTATGGTGGTCTTAATTCATGTGTGAAGTCATCTCTGGCCATTGAAACTTCTACTGGAGAGATTTAGCATGATAAATAGTGCTGACTGTGAAGGAAGATTGTACATAATGAAGTCACAACATGCCAAAATACATGATGGTGTGATGTGCTATTAAATCCCCAAAGTGAGATTTCATTATGACCTGTCAAAATTTGTCAGGTGTGCTTGTTTACATGTTGCTATTTGAGTCTGCATAGCTCTGTTTTCACAAAGGTGCATGTGCCTTTGAGGTTAGGTTATAAGGCCTTTATCTTCAGGTAATACTGGTTATGAGTCTGTTCCTCTTCTTTTACAGATGTCTGTTGTGATGATTGTAATGTTCTTGGTGGCATGGTCTCCATATTCTATTGTGTGTCTGTGGTCTTCCTTTGGAAACCCAAAGAAAATTTCTCCTGCAATGGCCATCATAGCTCCTTTATTTGCAAAATCTTCCACATTTTATAATCCCTGCATTTACGTCATTGCAAACAAAAAGTAAGTGCTCCCAATTTAATACCACTCTACTTGATGATTTTAGCTAATCATAAAACTATAGTAGGTTCATCTGAAAAATATGATTAGCAAAGAGGTCAAAGGATAAACCACTGATGATTTAACAAAGATGACCTTTCGGACAGGAAATCCTAAAAGAAATTGTTTTGATCATCATAAGAATATACTAAATTGATAAAGATTTTTGAAAACACATCAACGCAGCTTTTGTAAGACAGTTTTGAAAGTCCCTTTGTGGCTTCTCAAAGGGACTTATGGATTTTGGGTTGCATCAGCAGTAAACTGGCTTTAATAACTGTGGCCAAAATGTGTGGCGGCTTAGTGACATATAAATTCTGTAGATTTCTTTGCTTGATTTGGGATGTGTCATATTCTGACTGATTAGGATGGATTGACACCGTTAAAGTAAATAAGCTAGACCTATTCATCTGTTTTGAGCAAGCATATCAAATGCTCTAACCAAGCCAATGCCTCTGACTGAGAACTGGGTTTTGCAAGGAAGCATCCTTCCTTTCTCTACCACCAATCTAGAAGCAGAGCCCGTGATCTCTGTCTAGGTGAACTTACCTGATCCTGCTGAAAAAATCCATCTAATTTTTTTCACCATTCTGTAAGTTCATCTTTGTCATGGCTATACCCTGTCCTGGGATAAGCAAAACCTGCTGTGATGCCTGTTGTAGAAGAAACTTAACTGAGTTAAGTTCATGTACATGGAATTGAAAAAGACTTGGGTCCTCTCAAATTCCAAATACACCATTTTTTTATTAAGTAAGGTTTACTGAAGTTGAAAACTGTTGTAATACTGAAGGTAGCTTACCCAGTGTTTCTTGGTGTTTGGTTCTCCAGCTAATGATCTTTCTGTTTTCCCTTTCTTGCCTTTGCAGGTTTCGGAGGGCAATCTTGGCAATGGTGCGATGTCAGACAAGACAAGAGATAACCATAAACAACGCCTTGCCCATGAGTGTATCACAAAGTGCACTGACGTCGTAGAACTCATGTCATTTGCATGCATGAGTTAAATGGAAAGGAGTGAAATCTCAGTTAAAGCTAATTAATCTTTTGAAAGATTAATCTTTTGGAATAATTATCTGCCCCAGACAGCTGTTTCTGTTAATCACAATAATCTGTTTAGATAGGTTAAGAAGGCAAAACGACAAAACCCATTAAGACTTTAGGTTTTGAGAATGGGGTTTATTGGCCCAATATGTCTGTCCCAAACAAAAAAGGGGTAGTGATCACTGACTCTTACAGTGTGGACAACGTGACACAGGGCAAGGAGAACCTGAATCCGGAAGTGCTTAAATTCAGTAACATGGATTTTGCACCTCTAATTCCTTTCATGAATTACTTTTTCTCATCTTCCCTTGAAAGTTTTCCAGACTTAAAATATTCTGGATTCTCCCTGTGTGAATATATTTCTATAGAAGGTGTCCATGTTGGTATGCTTTGCAGAGTTCTGTTTCTGTGAATATATTAGCAAAATATCTAGCCAAACCCAATAGCACCTGTTACCAGCTCTTAGGAATTTTAAGGAGTTTTTGGATATTTTAACGTATTTTTAAAGTTTTTTTGCTCACACAACCAAATGAATTTGTAGGAAAGACAGCTTTTGTTTTTAGTAATAGTAACAGAAACTATTTAGTAATAGTGCTTGTGACTGCACAGCAAATACTGAAAATGAGACAAACTGTACCCTCAATCTTGACATGTGGGAAGCATATAAAACTGAATAAATATTTATAGTTATTTCTCATAATTTCTAAGTCAATCTCATGGTCATATAGGTCTGTTGTGTAGTTTTCAAAAAATACCTTTGGTGAGGTGATTTTTTCAGGATGGAAAAGATGACTGTGTATACATCTATTTATGAATGCTAGTATATGCACTCTTGATGATACTCAGAATTTTAGAATAAATATCTTCTGTTATTGCGTATGCATGAATATGAAGTTTGCCTTTGCATTGTGTAACTTATTCACATGGGTGGGTTGTTTTGTTTTTGTCAAAAAAAGCCTGTTTTTACAGGATTTTTTAATGAACTCTGGAATCTATCTCTGGCTTCCTATTCATTTGCAATTTTCAGTATTAAAGAAAATGCCATGCAATAACCTCATGCTGTACTAGATTTCCTTCAGGAACCTTGGAACGTTTTATGGACAGTAACTAATGCATTGCCTCTTAGGAGCAAAGAAGCATTTTATTACATGCTAACTTTGCAAGCTATCTATTAAAATAGCCTTGAAACATGCTGGATATGCCTGGAAACAGTGTGTTGTTCTAACAGAATAAAGAATGAACTGGCTTAACTGATCCATTTCAGGATACATTTGAAGGTTAAGCAACTACAGATCTCAGTTAATCTGATGTAATCTGCTGTTACTAAATGGATGTCTGCATTCACATTCGTAGCACACTGCACATGAGTGCCTAGGAATGAAGTTTTAATTTTTTCCATATCGGTTCTGCTGGGGAGAAGTCATGTATCTATTTGTTTATTTCTACCTCCTAATGACCTTTCTTGAAGAACTGCATGGTTTTTGTCCTTCACAATGCACTTGCGTTTACCATGGCAGAAGCGATGGCACTGGAGCAAGGTATATGTTTTATTCTTTGTCGTACAAGGCAATTTATAAGGAAAAGGGATGAAGAAACTGGAAATAACATTCTCATATGTTGCAAATTGGTTCTAGCATAGTTGAAATAAAGGCATCTTTTATGCTGGTGTTGTACAGCTAGAAGCATTCCTGAATAGGAACAGATGGTGATTATGGCTCTGTACTTTTCAAACAGCTACTTTAAATCTTCAGGTCTTGCAGAAGGCAATTTCTTTCTGCTCCATGATTTTCCTACTATTGTAATGTCCTTTCTATTTTCAGAAACTAATTGTCTACTGTAAGGTAATTCTGGTTTAAATAAATACAGTAGTTTCTTCTTTTTTAATCTACAGGAAAATCATATGATTTTTTGGTACTGTAGAGGTTAATTTGAAGTTTGATAATCTGGGTATTGTCATATCAGTTTTGGGAGATACAGTTTCTCATTGCTATTTGTCACAATATACCCAGTATAAAGCTGCATGAGGAGAAAGTAAAATAAAGAAAAAATATAGAAAAAAGGGGGACAACATTAGATGTCGTCTTATTGAGGGGAGGGAAATCTTAAAGCTAATGAGTGCAAACAACTTATTCCACAGAAATGGAAGCAAACTGATTCTTGAAAATGCTGAGAGATCCCATTTCAATAAAATCAGTGGGAGCAGAAAGTTCTTAGCACCTCTAAAAAGCAGGAAATTTTTTTTCAGACAACAGAAAGAAGGCTAGAAAGCTCTCTTTTAGAGAAATATGTTAACATTTTCATTTTTCAGTCTGTTCTGAAAGGTAAATATAGACAAATACTTTGAATCTTCATCATGCAGAAAAAAATAGAAATTAGTAATCCAAATGTCTGAATTTTAGTAACACAAATGGCATGCAGTTCCCACTTGAGATACATGCATGCATTATTCCTTATACAGTGGCTTCTGTTTTTCAGTTATCAATAGAACAGATGACAGAGGATGGTGCTTATATGCTTTATAATAAAGCAAATTAAACTTCACATGAAAGTATTTTGTGGGTTTTCTTTTTTTTAATATATTTAGAAACTCCCTATTTTCCTTTTTGATTTTTAAATGCAGAGGGCTGCTCTTGAGCTGACATTCTTTATTCTTCTAGTAGTGTTGCAGAAAGTAATAGTATCTGCATTTAAATCTAAAATGCAAATTTCTGGTAAAGAAATGTCAATATCTTTCTCCTTTTTCTCCCCTATTTTTTTTGTGTCTTTCTTCCTGATGCTAGGTCTGTACTCTGTAATGATCCTGACATGTATGAGATCCCCGTAAATGTTCCTGTGGATACTGTAAAACTTCGTATAGAGAAAACTGTCATACGAAGGATTCCAACTGAAGCCTTTTACTACCTAGTAGATCTCAAATACCTGTGGGTAACTTACAACTGCGTGGCAAACATTGATATCAGCAGTTTCTATAACCTGAAACAACTGCATGAGCTACGGCTGGATGGTAATCTGCTCTCGACGTTCCCTTGGGAATCACTGGCAGAGATGCCCAACCTACGGACTCTTGATTTACACAATAATAAAGTAACCAGCATTCCTGCTGATGCTGGCCGGTACCTAAAAAACCTCACCTACCTGGATATATCCAGCAACAAGCTAACCACCTTGCCATCAGACTTGATGGACATTTGGCCCCCCTTCTCAGAATCTGTCCTATCTAAGAGCAGAGGCAGTCTAGCGACCCAGAGAGTCATTTTGGGTATGTTAAACAGCTTGTCTTATTCCTTATTAAAATGTACCTAAATGTTAAGTTGAAAGTGAGAGCAGGTAGGGGACCAGCCTGGGATTTGGGAGAGTGGGTTTTATCCGGGTCAGTCCTCTGGTTTGCTCAGTGATTCTTTATTTGTTTATTTCTTGTTGGTGGAAAACTATAAAATGAAGATAGTGATCTCGATGCATGTTGTTATCTCAAGGTTATAAAATTAAAGTAAAATCTATGAGATTCTGGTCTACCAGAATACAGGCCTTATGGAGCGCTCGATATCCATAGAAATGTAGAACTTCCAGAAATTGAGTTTTGGATGACATTTCCCTCATCACTGTATGTGGTGGCAACTGCAAGCATATCCATTTGCAACTATTTTTTCCATTGGCTCACAAGCCAAGCAAGTAGCTAGAGTTGATGCTCATATGAAGCATGTCCCGAGACACAGTGCTGCAGACAATGTTGGCAGCTCAAAAGGGGGTGGCTCTGCTGTCCCTGTGATTCCTGTTGACCTTGCATTGCTTTAAATTAAACCCTATATTTTTCCCAAATTTTCATGTTAATATGAGAGAGAGAATAGGAATCTGATCCCTACAACTTCACAGCACTTTTTATAGTGTTGAAGGTACTTTTATAGTATTTAAGGTATGTGTTTAAGAATAGTTTGTCCAGACTGATTTTTTTTCATACTTTTATTCCATCTCTCCAGTATACCATCACATCAGTTCTGTTTGTGACTTTGTGCTGTATCTTATTCTAAGTAACCCCATTCTCTTCTGCAGCCTCAGAACATGGCTGGAAAAGATCTATCAATAGTGTTCTCTTCTGTCACTGTTTGTGCATAAGTGGATGTTTTGATGGTTTTGTAGTGTAGCAGGAGGAAGGGAGGAAAGCCAGCTGTGTCTCTCTCTACTGGAGCAGTTTTACACCCACTGGTAAAGATCTGCCCAACATTGTACTGCCCAGTATTTCCAGTCTCTTGATCTAATCCCCACTATTCAGTGTCCAGTTGTTCAGCTGCTTTGTTTCACAGCAGAATCTGCAATTTAAAACTCTTATTCAGGGGAGATTGTAGAGAAGTAGCTTCACAGATGCAAGCAGGCTGAATGAGTTTCACACATGAATGGTAACTATAGGTTTGCAGCATTAATAGGATCTTCATCTATTCAGGATTAAAAGAAAAAGCTGTAAAAGTGTATCCAACTCAGTACTCTTTTCCCTGCCCCCATACTAAAGGCAGTGAAGTAGGAGCTGACTGTGCTAGATCTAATTCTCCTGATGATCTCATGTGGGAGTCCCTTGTCTTACAAAGCCCTCACTGCTTAAAAACCAAAACAGCCAACCAACTAAGAAACCCAAAATACCAAAAAGCTTCAAACCCACACAGTCTTTTCTCTTTCCCTTCCCCCCTTGACAACCATCTGCAGGCTTTGTTGGTGCAGGTAGTTTGCCAGCGTCCTCTAGTCCTGGCAAGCCTTCTTGTGCCAACATTGAGTCCCCTAGAGACTTGGAATGTGATGTTGGAGCATTTTCACTTATGAACTACAGCCGGGTTTGAATACAGATCTCCAGAGGGGTTCAAAGAATGCCTTGCTTCTCTTTTTATAATGGTACGTGCTGAGGTAGGCTCTGTGAAGTTTTTAAAGATTTCGATCTGAGGATGTAAAATGCCAGTTAGTACTTTCATTGTGTTGGGTAAATATACCTTAGGTAAGCTGTGAGTTATTAGCTGAATTTTCTTTCATTGACATCATATAGCCTTCTGATGAATACATTGCAATGAAGACAGGCAGTGATTGCTGTATAAGAAACTCACTGGTGAATAAGAAAACATCCCCTTCCTCTGGAGATTAAAAAGTGCAGTACTTTTTGTGTCATGGGTTATTTTGACAAGCTGACTTAGTCTCCACTGAGTGTTAGTTTTATTATATTACTGGAGCTTGCAAAGTGGTAGTTACACCACTCCCACTCACTGCCAGGAGCTCATCCTTAGGTTGCTGTTGATGGACCACTACAAAGCAGTTGTTTTTCAGGAATGAATGGCTGACAGAAACTATCAGGCTAGAAAGATGACTTAGGAGTTGAGATGTCTCTGTAATGCTCCAACCATAGGAGATGTCAGAACAGGAGAAAGATGTGTTCTTCTAACACCTCTTCTGTCTCTACCAGGATTGCTGAAGCCCAAGGGAGGAGAAATGTAACCCATAAATATTCTCCTCTGAGGCAAGAGATAAGGATCACAAAGGTATGTGATCAGGTAGGATTTCAAAAAGGCCATCCTGTAGCCTGCTGGAATGCAGATCCAGATAAAATGAACTGTTCTGGTTAGATCAGTGTTGTTCTTAAGGCCTGTGGCCTGACCTTTCCTGAGCTTCTCTGGTAACCTCCAGTGCTTATCTATGAGGACAGTGAGAAAGTTTCTCTTAATATATAACCTCAATCTCCCTTACTGGAAACTAAGCTGATTACCTCTTTGTCCTACATAAGATGAACATACAGAAAAACTAATGACCATCTCTTATAGAAGTAACCTTTCATACGTTTTCCTTCCCCATTTGCTGCCTTAACTAATCACACCATTTCTTTTTTTGTTTTGATTTGTTTTTTGTTTTGTGTGGTTTTGTTGTTGGTTTTGCTTGTTGGGTTACCCCTTCCTCCTCTTTTTACCGTAGTTACTGGTTGCCTTTGGACTCCTTTGGGTTTTTAAAAGAAGGGTTTCTTTAAAATGTAATAGCCACAATTGCAGACTTTGATGCTCAAGAGTGTCCTATGTGCTCCAGCTCTTCTCTGTAGGAGCACTCAGCCTAGCCTATGTACCTGCCTGGAATAGTATGCAACCAGAGGTCTGCTAGAAGCTGGAACCCAGAGTAAATAAATGCTGGTTTTGTCTTGTCAGGAAGACAGCAGCCCAATTCAACTTAGTGTAAGCAGTTACTACTTGAGCTGGCTTCTCTCCTAGTTCTGTCAAAGCAAGAGCCCGAACTCACGTGTTCGTGCATACATATTTTCTGACACCAGGAAGCAATTTTGTCTTCAGTATCTTGACTGAGCGTCAAGAAGGTTGCATGTAAGAGAAAGCTCAGGTTTCCCATGTTTACTTCAAGGGTTCTTGGGGGGAGCCATAGACTACTTCTGCCAGGGGACTGGCATGTTAGCATCTCTTTATTTCAATTCATAACTGTACTTAGGGTTTTGGCTTTTTTTATTACCTCTCACTATATGATTTTCCTCTGTGGACACTATCCTAAATGAAAAAGGGTCAGGGAATGATTCCTGGTCCTATGGCCAAATGGCTCACTCTGGCTGTCATCCACACAATTTAGGGCCAGCTCTCTGTTAAACTGACTGGCTGTTCCACACTGTTCTCTGTGGGTCCTAAGAGATGCTTAAGAGACCCTAAAATGTAACTGTGGAGGTGGGGATGTGTTTTCTTCAGTTCAAGCTGCCAGAATTGATTAAGAATTGTATTGCAACCCATAGAATGTTGTACGCCTGATACTTATGCAGGATAGTTTGGAGGGGCAAAGCCTGATGCACTTACATCATGGGGAAGAATGGGATAGAGAGACCTGTCTTTAGTGTGGTCTCATCCACAGCCTTTCAGGGAGCAATCCCTGAAGTGTGAATTGCCTCAGGAGCCACAAATGACTTTGTCTTGGAAACTGCCCTTTTGAACAGTTCAAAACAAAGCTGTGGAGTGAGCTGACAACTAAACTGTGGAAATGATTGAATGACCAGTGTGTGAGCTCATCTGGCCCTCTCTTAGTTACCTCTGGAGCTATAGCCTAATACTTTGATCCAAATCACAGCTAAATTTGAGCATTGGCTGCTGTACAGAGTGAAATTTCTGGCACGAATGATGGCAGTGGCATTTTCCATATGGAAAATTGTATCTAGTGGGTTGCTGAGAGGAACAGAGGAATCCAGTATTTGATAGAGTGGCAGTTAGATGAGATCTTGCTTCTGCTATATGTAGAGGTGCCAAAAATTTGAATGCTGCAGGTCCATCAGGCTCCCAGCTGTTATGCTGGGCCATTGGGTAGATGCTTCTTTTCCTGAAACTACTCCCTAGCAATTACTGTGTATAGGACGCACTGGGCACAGTGCGGGAAGTGGGCTTTGCTGTTTTGGAACCTTGGATCAAAAATTTTGTAGCTTCAGTTGGAAGAGAGCCTTGTGTAAGTTGTCCCAAGCTGTGGTGAATATTTCCACCAGCCCAGAACTTGAATATTTAATATACTGTCATTTTACAGCAAGTGAAAAACAGTAAATTATACAAGTTAAGGCCTGAGAATGGTTACTGATTTACAAAGGAAATTTCACTCACATCTATTTTGAATGCTAAAGTCCATATTGACACAGCATGGGGAAACCCTCCTTATTGGGAAGACTGCAAAAATGTGCATGCACAGACTCATGTGTACACATATTTGGCATTGTACGTGCAAACATATGTATAATTGTGTGAGAGTAAGTTTAAAGTATGCTATATCTAGAATATAGAAAGGCTTTTAGAGCAGTTTATGGTCCCCTAAAATACACTGCATTGGTTACATTGCAATGCATAAGTATTTATCAGTGTGTATTGTGCCTTGGTTAGTACTTAGGTCAACAAGTTACTTTAATATTTCTAGAAAAGAATCCAGGGTTTCTAAAGACTTGCTGTTCCATCAGATGCACATGTCATTGGAGACTTAGCATTATTTTTATTTTCTCTTCTTAGGAAATTATTTTCCAGCAGGAATTCCATCTTATTCCTTTTTTAAAGCTCTCCATTTTTTGCGGTTTCTTTTTTCTTTTTTTTTTCCTCCTTTTTCTTTTTACTCCTTTTTTTTCTTTCCCGTTTTTTTCACTTATTTCCTTTATTCTTTAATGTGTTTGTTGTCGCTTTTATCACCTTTTAAACACAAGTTGTTATAGCTCAGAATGCCCTTTGTAGTTTGGAAACTAGGTTTACATTTCTATTTATGTTCTCTTCAATAGCTAACTGAGGTATAATCAAATTCAGTGTTTTTTCCTTGCTCCCAACTCAGTAGTGTTTTCATCTTTCCATTTTGTAAATTCACATGACTTGATGACTTACAGTGGCTGTGCAAGTTTACTAAAGATAGTGTGGATACTGTCAGATATTGGCAAGACACAGACAAATAGAAGGAATGAGCCGTGGAGGCAAGGAAGGAACTCCTACAGTATATATTATATTTATTTTTATGGGTCCTGTTTATTTAGGCAGTTCCACTGGGAAGCATAATGGATGGGGGAGATAAGGTGACTAACTGAAGTAATGCTTTCTTTGCATTAAAGCATGGAATTACAGTCTTCTGTGACTACAGTCCTCCTCTGAAGCTGAAACCAGTCCTTTGGAATGATCTGAGGTGGTCAGACCTGTGTCCTGGACTGAACTAAACACTCATCCAGTCTAAGGACTATGCATCTTTACTTCATCATTGTTTCAATTTTGTCATTTTTTGACACTTACTGTTAACAACTTTGGGTCTTCTTTAGGACACTGGGAGAATATGAAAGCCATGTACTTATATACGTTAGGAAAAATTTCTTCACTTAAAGGGTTGTCAGGCACCGGAGCAGGCTGCCCAGGGAAGTGGTTGAATTGCTCTTCCTGGGGGTATTTAAAAGATGTGTAGTTGTGGCACATAGGGATGTGGTTTAGTGATGAACTTGGCATTGTCAGGTTTATGGTTGGATTCAATCTTAAAAGTCTTTTCCATCTTAAATGATTCTATTTGAAAGGCCTTTGACGGCTGAGAGTGGTGTTAGAAACAGTAATAAACACCATCCTTTCTGGTAGTAAATCTTGTACAATGAGGAATCATTGCAGAAGAAATACCTTCAGTAACATTTAATGTAAGGGAGAATCTGCTGCCTGGTATGTGGGATGGGAGCCCTTACTGATGCTGCAAATCTATCCTGATTAATGCTGTGGACCTAGAGCACCTGCCCTGCCTCCTACTTGTAGCACAGCTACTCCGTGCTTCTGTCCTCTGGCTAGCACAGAGATTATGCTGGGAGTTCACTTGCATTTTAGCAGCATTTTGCTATGGACTAACTCTGGTAGTTGAGGGCTGATTTCAAGGGGATCCTGTCTTCCCTCTTACACCTTAGGGGAATTTAATTTTCAAATATTCATATAGTCTCTTTCTTACTGCAGTGAGAAAAATTGACACCTTATATGTGAGAATGCAAAAAAAAACCCCAAACCCAGGAATATTGTCTCTAACTACAAACTAAAGCTTCCCTAATTTAAAAGATGAGCACAAATAGTTACATACATGTGTTTAATTGGCAGAATTTTTATTTTATAGCAACCACAAGCAGCTGATGCCCAGACATACGGAAAACATTTGGATGGTATCTCTTATGCTTGTGAGTATAGGTGTGAAGTTCACAGGGAAAAAAAATATATATATTTTGGAGGGTTCTTTTTGTTTCTTGGTGGGTTTTTTTTTCCTTTCTTCTTTGTTTTTTGCTTTTAAGACAAGCAGTTGCTAATACAGTTTCCTTGATTTCTCCTTCCCTGTTCCTTCAGGCAGTAAGTAGCAAATGTAAAATCCCTTCTGTCTGCAAGGGGTGAAATTGGATTGTGATGTCAAAGTTACGGAGTCTCTTCAGGTCAAGTCTTGTTTTAAAGAGCAGGGATTAATTGGGGTTTACCACAGTTTTAACCAATCACTGTCATTGTGCTTAAAATAACCTAATCTTGATCAGGTGACAAAAGGAAGCAGTTGTTAATTATTCGTGTATTCTTTCCTCTACAGGTTTCATCCAGGAAAAAAAAGCAGAATTTTTTCATTAGTTGTTTCTATAATTCCTAAAAATACACAATAAAAAGGAACAATATTAGCAGGTGCTTCAGTTCTATTTTTCTTTTAACATTGGTTTAATTGATATGACCAGTCTGTTGCATTCATCAGTAATTTCAACAGCAAGGAGTTCTTGGGCACTGTCCCTTATTTCAGACTGTAAGTTCTGCTTATTGTTAATACTTGGGAAAAAGAAAAAGGTATGCTCAAATGTATAAGTCAAATGAGAAAATATTTGATCTTGTGAGTGATATGCTACATTGTGTTTTGCCTGGTGAAGCTGCTGTTGCTCTATGAAGGTCAACACAATGGAGTAATCAATACCAGCTGAGGATTTAAACTGGTATGCTTCAGAAATGGCTACTCTCTTTCACCATAGTAGGTTCACCAAGGGACAGAAGCCTCACAATCAAAGACTTTTGAATTAAGAAGCAAACGTTATAGCCTTTAATAGAAGAGATAGTGTTCTTGCATGCCATTATAAAAGCATTGTAGTCATCAGCTTTTTCAAGGTCCTTCCCCTTTTTCTACTCTTCTGCTATTCTTTTTGAATGCATTTCAGAGGTTGTCCTAAGTTGAAGTTGGATTTCTAAGAATATTGGTACAGTTCAAAGCCAGATAAAAATTTGATTGGCCTAAAGCTTTTTCTCCTTAGCCTTTATTTTTTTTTTCAAGGGACAGAGATGTTGGTGTAAAGCTATAACCTCTTAAACCATTGAAAAAAGAAGATCAAATTATAAGAGCCCAAAGGACTCAGAGCAGAAGAGAGTGATGAGATGCAATAGCCCTGACAAGCTATCATTCCAGAAAGCACAGGCTTAAGACATCTTTTCAATGTATTTTTTTTTCCTAGGTAAATATCAAAGCAAAACACAGGTAGTGCCTGTATCTATTATACTTCTGTGAACTTCTGTGAAGAAAAAGTTTAGCTTAATAAACATTCATACTGTTCTTCCTCACCTCTGGAAAATCTTCCCCACCCATCAGCCAAACAAACAAAAAAACCCAACGAACTAAAACTCAGAATAGGTCCATGGTTCTCCTTGCTTGTGCTTGGTGGTAGGCATGCATCATATTGTAATCACAATATTCATATATTGCCTGACAGCATTATTTTTTCTTTCTTTCTTTCCCCTCTTCCCTCCCTGCTTCAGGTTTGCAGGACAACCCATGGTTTTGTGATTGTCGCATTTCAAAGCTAATTGAATTTTCCAAAATTGTGGACAACTCAGTTGTACTTCTTGATCCATTGGTTTCATGTAGTGGACCTGAGAGCCTGGCGGGAATCCTGTTCCAGAGGGCTGAGCTAGAGCAGTGTCTTAAACCATCTGTAATGACATCAGCTACGAAGATCACTTCCCCACTGGGAAGCAACGTTCTGCTACGCTGTGATGCGACTGGGTACCCAACACCGCAGCTTACTTGGACTAGGTCAGACAATATACCAGTGAACTACACAGGTATAATTCCTCTTTTATAGGACATGGGAAAGCCTGAAATTGAGGGTTGCCTGTGCTTTGAGATCGTTATAATGAGTAACAATGGACCAGATATTGCACCAAGCTGGCAATTGTAGCCAGCAACTGCTGTTAGGAAATTCTTTGTTGAGGTTTGGTCTGAACAGGTCCAACAGACTGTTCTGATTCTGGATGTGGTTTGTAATAAGAACAATGTTCATGAAGGGGGAAGACGGGTGAAGCAGGGGAAGGGTAAAGGAAAAGGGAGGCTGGGACAGTTGTGCGTGCTCCAGCACCTCAGTGTCTTTCTTGTAGTGAGGGGCCCAAAACGGAACACATTAGCCTCACCAATGCTGAGTAAAAGGGGACAGTATTTTCTATGTTATTTTCAAATGTTTGTTGTTTATTTGCAACACCCATTTTGAATACTTGATATAATTCTAGCTACTGTCATAGATATTTGTGCAGTAACTTAAATACAAAAATGTTTATTGCTAATGCCAAGCAGTTCACAGTTATCTTAAATCACAAGTCTGAAGAAGGTAACAGCCTGAATTACTGAAATATCTTAAGACAAAGGTCATTTCCAAAAATGTTTTAAATGGCTAGTGCGTTCAGTGTCACTTCAAGTCACTGAGACTTGTATTTCCTAGTCACATAGCAGCTTTAAGATATTTGATTTCTCTTCATGTGGTTTTGCTTTACTCAGTGAAATTGCAAATTCTATTCTAAGTCCTCCACATATTCAGTTCCATTTTGACTGAAGCTGAGCACTTTTTCTGCAATGATATAATATGGCAGGGACTTCCATAGTTTGTGTGTGTGGCTTGTTTTTTTTTTTAAGTTTAATACATGTGATTCTTCCTGGCAGAGATAAGGGAAGAAGCAGTCTAATAATGTTTCCTTTCTCTTTACCTACCCTTTTTATAATGTTTTTACTCTTTGCATTTTTCTATAGTAATCCAAGAAACACCTGGAGAGGGTGTCAGATGGTCCATAATGAGCTTGACAGGGATTTCATACAAGGATGCAGGAGAATACAGATGTAAAGCCAAGAACTTAGCAGGAATGGCAGAAGCTGCTGTCACTGTCACAGTGATTGGTGTAGTTACTACAACTGTGTCGCCACAGAAGTATGGAAGGAAACAAGAGGCACAGAGACAGAATACCACTCAGGATGAATCAAAGCAGGAACCTGAGAGGAAAACCACACCTCTTCCCACCACACCAACCACCACAGCACTGGTTAGCACTGAAGTATCACCAAGCATCAGGTTTACTGACAAGAAGCAATCCAGGCCCATGTCTGATGGAAAGAAAAATTCAAAGGCAGTGACAAGTGGAATCAAAAAGCAGACTGGGGACCCAAGCAAGAAAAGTGAGGAGACAAAGCAGACCGGGGAGATAGGCAAGAAAGGCGAGGAGACTTCATTGAATGCAGCAAGTACGGCTGAGCAAAATGTCACCGTAAAGAATCTAAGAGTGATCAGTGAAACTGATGAAAGAGTGACCTTAACTTGGAAAACTGTCAATGCCACAAGCAGCTCTGCAGTGACCGTGTTATACTCAAAGTATGGTGAGAAAGATATGTTGCCTCTGAGCACTGATTCTAGCAAAAACAAAGTCACAATTGATGGTTTGCAGCCTAGTACTCAATATATGGCATGTGTCTCACCCAAAGGAGTGCCACCTACAAAAGAGCAGTGCATTATTTTCTCCACTGATAGGTTAAATAATGAAAGCAGCTCTCAGTTTTCAATTCTGATATTGGCCAGCAGTGCAGCATGTGTGGTTGTTTTACCTGTGATATTTTTCTTACTCTACAAACTTTTAAAACTTCGTATGAAACCAAAAACTGCAAAGGAAGCTGACCTTGCAAGAGAGTCCTATGTGAAATTTGAAACACTCTCTCTGAAACCTCGAACAGTGTGTGCAAGAGAACAGCTCTGGGCACGAAGGTACACAGATGAGTCGGAAAGGCTTCTCCTCTGTTCTAGGTCAAGCATGGATTCTCAAATGACTTTCAAAAGTGAAGGCTCTAGGTCTGAGTATCTGTGTTGAACATGGGTGAGGGTGGAGGAGATGGTATGTAAAATTAATCCAAAATGATGATACTGCATTTGGAAGCAGGTTGGTGCTAGGTGGTGGTCAGAATCTATTATGTGATGTAGTACAGTCTCCTTGATGGGTAGGGTGGTGGGTAGGAAGGAGAATAGAAGAAAAATGTTGCCTGATTATTTATTCTTTTTTTACATTTGTGACTTTGGATGTGAAGGAATGATGTTCTTCAAAAGAAAAATACAGCATGAAATGGTTGCGTGGTTGAAGATCATCTATTTTTTTGTTTTCATTAAAACACCATTCTGTTTTCTCTTCTCTTGTTTTACTGTATGATGTGCTAGTTGCCTGTATCAGACATTAATCACAACCTTCATAAAAACGAAGGAGCTTCTTTAGTATTCTGAAGCTCAGGCAAGATATCATTATGAGTAACTCTGGGGGCTGTAGTAGATATTAAGAATGTTAATTTACATCAAATATCTTATTGCAAAATCTCAGCCTTAGAATTTACTTGGATGCATATGTGTGTATACCTCATTTTCAGAAATCTCTCTACAGGAAATCGTTAATCACTAGTGTAAGATTAAATTCTGCCTGCTGGAATGCTGGAGAGCTTTTCTGGTAAAATACAGGTTGGCAAGAGAGAAACATTTTGTCAAAAACCCTCTGACATAAACTTATGGCAGAAAATGAACACGCTGAAAAATCTCCATCTACATGATGATGCTCAGCAGTCAGGATTAATAGACTGAGCATTTGAGACCATGGGAGCTGTAGTAAGGAAGCAGGTGAGATGTTTAAAAGCACAAAATTAGCTCACCTACATATGATTTTAGAATTAAGCTTGGTGTTCCTTTCTGTGTTACAAGTATGTGTGGTTAAAAGGTACTCTTTCTTCTTTTTCTAAGAATAATTTTAATTGCAGTAAAAATGTTTTCTGATTTCTGGGTGGAAAAGTTTTGATTTGGCAGTTTTTGTTGGAATTTGGGATTTTTTGGGAAAGCAGATTTTTCTTGTGTTAAAACCGAGGTTCATCTGACAAGCAGGTTATGATAAACTAAAGTTCTAGCTGGATCTGAAGTGTGGCAATATTTGCCTTCTCTTTTCCATATAGATATTGTAGGCAGTAGCCACTAGTTGCTGCTGAAGGTGTTTCCAATTAAAAACACCGTGCTTGCCCTTAATGAGAGGAATTGTTTTAACATATATTTTTTAATTTGTGGAGAATATTTGATTTCGGGTTTCAAAGCTTTGCAGGAAACTTGAATCTGGAGTTCAAAAGTGCCATCACCTGACTTGTAGGTGGTACATCAATACATAGGAGTGAAGTGGTACAAACCTCACTTATGACAGCTCACTTGCAAATATGAATAAAACCTTTTGGTTTGACTAATCCTTGCGGGGAATTGGCACGTCCTAACATTAGAAATTACTCTCTATGACCACATGTGCTATCAGTATATCAAGGAAAAAATGTATTATAAAGGGCATGTTCTTTCGAGTAAACATGCGATACATTATTTTTTCCACAGCTCTTAAGACATGCATCTGTACCTCATGTCAAATCAGCAAATCTGCTGGGAATTTCAAAAGGATTTGGTGCAAAGGCCAAATCACACAATAAATATATGTGCCCTGCATCACCCAGGATCAGTTTAATTAAAAAGCTGAAGAACTACTTTTGGTAAAGAAATGAAAATTTTTACACTGTATCTTGTTAATATTAGTGATAGAATCATTATGAGATAGATTTTGTCACCCGTAGTCCGTTTGTATAATATTTTCTGAAATGCAATACTGAATCAATGATCACTATGAACAGTGATGGCTATAATATATGCTTGCCTGGTAGCAGAGGTTGGGAGGATTTAACAAATGTTTATGCATCGCCTTTCATATGTTTTGCACTTTGTTAGCTCAAGTCATCCAGCATTTCACAAAAAATGTTAGACCTCCTCTTTTTATACGTTACCCATAATAAGTGTGTCAAAACTGTATGGTGAATGAAATAAGTGAGTAGTATGAGCTGAATTACAAATAGACCTCATTTTTACTTGAAGCTTTAGTGAGCCTCAGCACTTGTCACAGTTAACCACAATCCTGGCTTCAATGTGCACTCACTAAGCCAAACTTTAGGCATCCATGCATCCATTTTAGTCCTTGTCAGTGCTCACAGTGGACTTCCTGTTCTTTGCACTATCATCAGATTCTCATACTTTTCTCAGGTGGGGGATTAAGAAAGAAAACTCTTGTGTGTATACTATAAAAATGTCTGTAGTAACAAAACTGTTCACAGCTGGGCTATATCTAAGAAGGTAAACTAAGGACATTTTAAACTCATTACCTTTTCAAAGAAGTAATTAAAACAGAATTTGTTTCGATGTGAAAATAAAGGATTGTTTTTATACGTGACAGTGTGTCTGCCTGACCCTTTCATATTTATAGCTTTAGACAGTGTGATGAGTGCAGCTGTGGGGACTAGAGGAAATCTGAGAAGAAATGAGGGAAAATGCAAAAAGAAGGCTGAGAAACAATGGAAGAGTAATATCTTAGAGAATGCTGGGACTGTGTTTCACAAAGGCTTTTGCTTGTAATTCTGTTATGTACATGGCAAGGGTCCTGGAATGTCTACACACAGTTGAATGAAGGTTATTTTATTCACAGTTGAATAAAAGGTTGAATGAAGATGCTGCCAGCTTATTTCAATGAGTGGAGCTTTATACATGCCCAGCTTCAACAAGGTGGGGGCAGCTATAAAACTGGAGTGTGAAACAAAGGCACTAGGGGAATTTGAAGAATGTACTTGAAGCTGGTCTTCAAGCCTGCCTGTGTCCCAGTGAAAGTTGTGAGAGCTTTTCACAAAACATTGCCTATAAACTGAAAAAGGGAGAGTGAGTAGTTTATACATTTATTGCAAGAAAGAGGGATACGCATCAGCAGCAGTTCTGGCTAGGGTGTGAAACCTAGGCATGATATACTACAGTAGTCCGCTGTGATCTATGATTTTCCTGTAAAGCAACCAATTTGTTAGATACGTGGCTGGGAGGCAGACCACCTTGCATTTCCTTCATGAGCACAGATGGGATTTCAATATGAAGCTTGTTTTAATTATCTAACTGGGTGTAGGCTGGAAACATGCTGCCCAGGACGCCTTCTTTCACAGAATTCATTGCATTGCTCTAGGTGTTACAGTCAGCCACAGCAGCTCCAGGCTAGCACTCTCCTTTGTTGAAAATGAAGAGTTTTCAATAGAATAGGTGTTTTTTCTTTTCTTTTTAAATCACTGAAAAAATTTTCCTCTGAATTTCAGAAGACAGAAATTCACATCAGACCGGAGGCACGATTAATGTGCCATTTTTATAAACGATTTCTTATAAATCTGAAAGGCTCCCTGGTTAAACAGCTGCAAAATCAAGCTGAAATATTCAGCCTGAAACAGCCTGTAGCAAGGAAAGAATTCTTATTACAAAGCTGTGTACATTATTCATCAGTGCTCAGGATGGGAATTTTTCAATCAATAAGGCAGAAAGCAACTATGATACAATTTTTCTCAAAACCTAAGTAAAAAAGATGCACTTTTTTCTGAGTTTCTATTTTTTATAAATTAACGTGCTGACCTTGCATTTAGAAAAGTATGTGAAGCTGCTCCAATTATTGCAGCAAGTTCAGTAGTACCTGTCAGGTATGTATTTCAAATATATTTGGTCTAATTTAAGATCTGGTATTTCTGAAAGATACCTTATTGGTTTAAGAGAGTACTGAAAAGAGCTGACTGTACAAACGGCTACAACTTTTACCTCTCATAATAGTGCAGTATGAGTTTACTGACAATGTGTGAATTACTATATCCTACATATAAGATGCTCTGACAAGAAAATACTTTTTCTAAAGTGCTATGAGTAATCATGTATTTGACACATCTTTTCATGGAAGAATCAAAGGAATTTGGTAGTGGTCTGGCAGTTTTGGTTTTTTGTATGAAACTAAGGTGACTGAGAGAGGATCTGGTGAAATACTTCATGTCTGAAAAAAATTTAAAATGGAATGCATTCTCTTCTCTCTTAATACAGAAGAAAGGAGCTTAATATATGTGTGTATTGAGAGGAGGAATAGAGTCTTCCACTGTTCACTCAGAGTTCAGATAGTTTCTTCTGAGGCCTCTGGTATGGGCTGCAGATACTTGAGACATGCTACAGGACTAGATGGAAAGTAAGAACAATCCAAAATGACAATTACTAGTAGGTTCAATGCAACTATAATTTAAATTAAATGGGTTACTTGGTCAGGCAACTACACAAATGGGGTTTTACTTATATATTTTAAGTCTTTTCATTCATTTAGATATACAGTTGTAGGAAACCTCTAGAGTTCTCAAATAGCAGTTTTACTAATCCTTCAAAAAGTAAATTCATAAAGAAATCTTCAAAAGATGTTCCTGCTTAATTTTTTCTCACTTATACTTTCCAGTTTGCTGTTGTTTTGGAAAACAGGAACGAAATTATATATATAGTCTGCTTTGTAATATTTTCCAGTCTCTAAAACAATTACACCTTTGTCAAAGAAAAGAAAATTCAGTCCAATACCCATAAGTACCTTTTTTGTAAGAACCTGATTTAACTGGTGACGCTGAAGTCTAATGCCATGGGCTGATCGGATCGACTTCTGAGTCATGTGTCTTGAATTTTATGCTGCTAAGATCTGGCCAAATGTTTGCACCCCCCAAGATAAATCTTACCAAGTATATTTTTTGTTTCATAGCCCAGTTCCTTGTGTATAAAATCATGTGGAAGTTAAATCACAGAGGGAAAAAGAGGCCAGTGTAAGAGTATGGTAAGCATCCAGCTATACAGCATGGCAAATTAAATTCAGAACAATATTACTTTCTCTTTTAATGTTACTTTAATCTTTTTTTTGTTATTTAAATTTTATTCTTATTTGACTTTGGGTAGAACCTTCTTTTGTATTAGACTGATTCTGCACTGTACTGTCAGCTTCAGATTACTCATAAATGACATTACCCATAGGTATTTTTCCAGAGCATACTCTCAGGTCTTGCATGACCCATTCTGGTATACCACTTGTTTAGAAAAGAAAAGTACTTGTTATTTCTTATTCTATAATATAAAAGTGACATGGTGGAATGATATCCTTCCTGCTGAAGCAGGACTGTGCAAACAGGAATTGGAACACTCCTGCTTTTTCTGGGACTCAGACTTCATAGCTGGGGATCACTTACACCTTGCAACTGTGTTTGCAGTCACATCTGCATTGCATCAATATACAGAAAACACGCAATTCCTGGAGTTCTGTGCCAATCAGTCTGAGTTCAGCGTAAAATCTGGGCATAATATTTTTAGTAAAAGATTACCCCAAATTATTTCTCAGTGTTAGGAAAGATTCTCTCTAGAATGACAGAGGCACATTTTCATGGGCTAAATTTCTACTCTTATTTGTTCTTTAGCTTGCTTGAGCATTATTTACTCTTTGACAGAGGACCAGACGTTCCCTTTGGATAAGGTAATCAGCAGCAGAAACAATAAAAGCCACGTTTTTCACAAGCCAGAAAAATAACTGTCTTTGTTCTGGTCAGGAGCAATGAGTGAATGGACATTATATTCAGCATCCATATGAGCTACTTCTTTGAAACTCTAACAGAGACTTCATCAGAAGAGGTAATTGGGAAAGTTACTTGTTTACTGATAGAAAAAAGTGGCATTTTCTTGTCTCTTTAACAATGACTTAGATCAAGAGGTTGCCTGAATGTGAGCTGGTACAGACTAAAGTTCAGCCTGCCACAAGATTATGAAGTTTCTAGTTTCTTACCACTGAAGATTCACATAGAAAGTCTGGATTGGACGATAGAGAAAAATGGTGGTACTTAAAGCTTACAGACCTTCACATAACAAAAATGGTCGTGAAAATTCTTTTAAGGATTCATCAGTCAAAAATGATGCTGGGAAAAGGAATAACCTTTAAATTATTTATTTATTTATTTATTTATTATTTATTTATTTATTTTTCTTAAAGGCTGGAAAGGCCCAGAACCAGCAGATAGACATTTGGAATGGCTCTCAGTACAAGCAGAATACATAAATGGTATTTGGTGGCTGGGACATGAAACAAGAATTTTTGTCATAACTATGTGCAAGTCTGCCTTGGAAGAGAGCAGTAAATTGGCAACCTGATTGAAGGCAGATTCTGAATAAGCAAAAAGGCTGTGGTGAAGGGGAATGCATGAGTAGCAAAGGAGAAATTCCTACAGGAAGCACCAAAGTAAGATTAAGTAAAGAATAAAATCACCCTGCTGAAGAGTACTTTTTCCCCTGAGTGCAAAAATCTTTACCAATCTTTTGGCTTATAAAATCATGGGCAAGAACTGCAAGGAGGAAGAATAGTGAGAATTCACAAGTTACAATAATTCAACAAGTTCCAATCCATTGATCCAGGACAGATTTTCAGTAAAGAGAAACCTGGTCTGGGGGAAAAAAGACTGTGTTCTTGTTCATGGCTTATTCGTTTTATTTAATATTAATTCAG